CCAGACCGCGGCTCCCGGAATGGTCTTGGTATCAACGATGCGGGCACACATGACTTTGACGAACAGTCTCCATTGCCCAACGGTCCACGCAACAATGCACCAACACGGCCATACGGTCTGTCTGACAACGCTGTTGCGTCTCCTCCAGTTCTCTCCTCATCATACTACGACGACGCTGCTTCGTCAATGATCACTCCCGCCCCCTTACGCCAGCAGCCTCGTCTTGCTCCTCCAAGCACCGCCCAGGTTCCTTCACGCTACATGCAACTCAGCTCGCCAGCTCAGTTCTGGAAACTAGCCGACATAGGCAACACTCCTGCCAGACCAATGCCGGACATCAGCCCGCTTAAGCCCTCCATCGGCACCTCTGAGTCCAGTCGCTGGAAGACCCTCAACCCCATCCCAAGTAGCAGTCCACCACCAGCGAATCTAGGCAGCCCAACTAAACCGCCTACTTCTTCCCTTAGGAGTCGCGGTGGTGTCTCTCCTCTGGGACGAGATGTGCGTGAGCGTGAGAGCAGCACTATCAAGCGTCACCAGGATAGCTGGGATGAAGATGATGATGACAATGATGGTGATGACACTGGCTTTGATCTTGCTAGGTTTGTCCCTCCCTTCCACTTCTACATATGAACCAGCATACTAATATTTCCTAGGGGATTCCAACCTATTGGTTCATTCCACAGACAAATTAACAATGCTGCTAGAGCTAGCTAGATAGGCTTACCTTTGCCTATACGACCCTTTTCTATGCATACACGCATGAGATATGAATAGTGCAGCATCCCCTTTCTAAGCAAGCCTACCTTACATATATTTTCCCACCCTTCTTATTTTCGTGTATTATCTATTCAATCATTTCCTATTGTTATCGTTACCCCTTGGACTTGGTTTGCTTTTGATTTTTTTTTCCCCCTCACTTGTTACATCCTTACGCTTGCTCATTGAGCTGTACTTTACGATATTGCTATGCCGGTGGCCTTTTGCCATATGAAAACGGAAACGGAACGGACGGAATCGAACATTTTACGCTGCTAAGATAGTATGGACGAAATGGAATGGATGAATTACTTTTCTTACTTGGTTGGGCGGGTAGAGGTGAAGGTGTTGGGAACGCCTTTATACGAGACCTACGGGGGAAAAGTGGCGTTTTTATCTACTTATCAATGTTTTTTACGCCCCTTCATGCATTCAGCTTAGGTTTACTATTAAGGATTGAATTATCAGTATAAAAACTGGCACTTTATTATTATTATTATTATTATTTTCTTTTATTTCATAACTATAGCCGTTCTATCTAATTAGTTCTTTGGGTATGTGAGGGCGAATATGCCGTCTCACTGTCCAGGGTGACTAGTTAAGTAAAGTAAGTAATAAAGATATCGACAATAGAAAGTAAAGGGACGTTAATCCGTCCATCGTCAGGTCAGTAGTAAATAGTAAATGCAGTAGACAAGAGCAGGGGTATTAATTGATTGGGTACTCCACGTCGGACGGCAGGCCGCCGTCCATGTCGTCTTTCTGCCTATTCCGAGGCGCACCCCAGCCCATCCCATCCTCCCATATATCACACTCAATCTCGATTTCGGAGTCCTTCTTGCGCCGCTTGCGCCGCGGCTTTTTAGCTAGGCGCTCCACTTCCCGGCGCCGATGCAGATCCTCGTCGCTTGACCGAGGTGAAACCACCACGGAAGGGTTTTCGCTGTCTGGATATTCTCTAAACCGAATGGCATCACGCTCGCTCTCAGCCCTGGCTTCAGCTTTGGTGATCTGGACGGCTATACCCACCGCCGCCTCGAGAGTGTAGCGTGCATCGTTGCCGGCGTTGTGGAGGTGCCAGGGCATGATGTCCAGGTCCTTCAAGATGTCCTTCAGGCCGGGAGGATCGTAGTCACGTTTTAATATGCGGTGGAGGTTAGCTGTATCCGCTGCGTCGTGAAATTTTGATAGTGTCGAGAATTCGTCGCCGGACCGCTCGCGGTACGTTTCTATGTCGAAGAAGTCACAGCCTATATTGGACAGGTTTTTGATATCGCCGTTCAAGGCGTGGCCGACCAGGATGAGCTTGCGTGGTCTCATTTTATATTCTGGTATGGTTGGGCTTGGAGTCCGGGCTGGATGTCGTTGGTGTTGTTGGCCAGGGGATCGAGAGGAGCTGGGCTCTGTGCCGGGAGAGGGAGACCATTGTTTGCGCCGTCTGCTCCGCCCTCTCTTCCCAGGGGAGTTACTGGGCTCGGATGGCAATTTGACGCCTCCCTCTGGCGATTGGGACTGGTTTCTATTTCTTCCTCTAGAATGCCGCGAACGAGATTGACGTCTGCGTTCCTGGGAACCGTCTTTCTGTAGCTGGTATAAGTAAACGGCTGAAGGACGGTGAGGCTCAACAACGATACTTACCGGTTGCTGATTATAGGCAATATGGCCAGAGTATGGTGGTTTGAAGCATGCGTCAACCACTTGGGGAAGACACACGCGACGAACAAACTCGCTGCTCCCGAACGCGAAATCATCAGGACAACCCTGTACGAACTTCTTATTTCTGAAATGTTTATATTCAGCAACGCGGAAATGCCGGGATCGGATTTTGCTCATCCAGTTACGGCCTCCTTCTCCCGGTGGAACTCCCACCAAGTCCAGGGTATCCAAAGTAGAAACTCCAACCTCAGTGATCTGGGCATGGTTGCGTTCATTAGCCTCAAGGTCGATACAGATGAAGATGGGCTCATCTGCAAACGCAAAGGGAGCTGGGCTTTCGACATCGAGCGGGTCCAGAACTGTTCCAATTGCAACAGTAGCAGCCTCATTAGTCTGCTCTTGTTGCTCTTGCTGTTGCTGCTGCTGCTGTTCCAATGCTGGCTTAGCGGGTGTAGAAGTTGCATTATCAACAATCTGGGTCTTCCTGGAAGCACATCGAGCAATTCGAGGACGCAGCCCCAGATAGCACTGAGTTCGTTTTAGCTGACGGTGCCAGCGGCGGATTTTATACACTTGTTTCCCGTCGCCTATGTTCGTCCCCTTGTGCTTTTTGTACTTGACATCATACACGATCTTCATTCTTTTGCAGAATTGGGCAAAAGTTTCGTCGTCTTCTTCTTTCGGTAACTCGATAGGATTCTCACTACACCATATGGTAGCATCTTTCTGTAGTTGGCGTTTCATCTCGTGGGTGGTAGAAGTTCCTATGTACTTGGGTTGGGGGGTCCCGTCAGGGGTAAATGGAACGATCAACCCTGCTTCTTCCTCAAGTGGGAGGCTGATATCGCAGCCAAACTCTGCGTTAATTTCATCGATAAGCGCCTGGGCCTGTGATGCCGGGGTAAAAAGAAAAGGCATGCATAAGATATGTTTTGGCACGCGAACAGAGTACCTGTATGGATAAAGTAGGTTGTTAGTGAATAGCTTAATAGCTATAACGTTAAGTTATAGTTATGGAGATGCTCCAAGAGCCGCCAGTGCGAAGATTAAAACGTCGGCAAATATAAAAGCAAGAGGGAAGAAACACTTACAAGTCCCATCTCCGCTCCCAGAACTTTTCGTTCTTGTAGAATCTGTCCACAATCGGCTGCAGGAATTTTCCCCCAATGTACTTGTATGGTGTGGACAGGATTTCAATGGGGCAGAAGTAGGTCGTCTCTCCAGCGCGTGGCCTGGCTTCTGTGGCAGGGATATCTTCCTTGGACGCTGCTGTCCCCATCTCCGGCTCCGCAGCCTGGATCTCGGTGGCGTCGTCTGACGAGGCCTCAGCTTGCTTGTCCCCGGGGTTGGCAACTTCGACCTCTACGACATCCAGCAGAGGCAAATCTGGGGCCTGGTCTTGGTTCTGGCCCGACTGATCCTGAGTATCAATCCTCACCTCACGTAGGCCGACGTCTATCCCCAACAGGCCAGCATCCTCCCCGTCAAAGAGCATATTCAAACGCTCGGCATAGCTCATGATGACAGCTGGATAAGTATCAAGATCTGAGCTGTCTCTTTGATATCAAGGTAAAAAAAAAAAAAAAAAGAGGAAGAAAAGGGTGATAACAACACAGGCTAGAGTGGTTCCCTGTGGAGCAAGAGAAGCAAGACGGAGATGCCTTTATATTTTTTTGGTTTATTATTTTTTTTTTTCTTCTTATAGGAGGATATGAGGAGCGAGCAGCTTGAAGAGTTGGATGTGTATGTTGTAAGAGGCAAGAAAGCAGGCGAAAAGGTGAGTTGTTGGCAAGTGAAGTTGGCAGCAGAGGGCAATATCCAGTGAAGCAGGATGGTGAATCGGTATCTTGAGAAGCTTCCTTTGATGCAAGAGCCCGCAGGAAGAGCCCATGGCCCGGCTATTTATCTCTCTCTGTCTTGCCTGCTGGCAAACGAAGGAGACTCTGGGGGGGGGGGGGGGGGGGGGGAGGCGTTGTGGCCTTTTGCTCCGATTGACGTTATCGACTTTGGTAACTAGCTAGGGCTGAGTCGATGATGCAAATTATCAAAATGTCAATCAAACAAATCTTTAGCTAACGTTTAGGCTACTTTTTTTTTTTTTTTAAGATGAGCCACTAATAGTTAATCTCCTTGATGCCTTGGCTGGTTGAGGCAACTCCTGAGTCAACATGTATGGATTTATCCATGTCGTAGTTGGCTCTGATGGCGTTTGGATGGCGTTTCTGTCCGGGGAGATTTCTGCTTTGGGCAGTACCAGGGAGAGCCAAGGGGGGGTGTTGCTTATGCATTAAGGAGGCCAGGGATTCTCAGGGGCGTCAACCTCTTCTGCGGGTTTCTATGTGTCCTGCATCTACACTACGTCATGGTTGCTGTTTACTGGATAGAAAGGAGCAGGTAGTGGTGGTGGTGGTGGTAAAGCAGATATCATATTGGATAACAGGTAATCAGTAGTAACAGGTGGTCTTTTGTAAAAACAGAAAAGCAGAAAGCAAGCTTGTATCAGCGGCTCAAATGAGCCCGCAGTGTAGTGAAAAGCAGAGAAAGCATGCAGTTGGTAAAGCATATTTGCAAGTAAGGCATGTAGGCTTGCTTCTTTCATAGTCAATCATCGGCGTCGGCAGCCCCAGAATCCTCGTCAACTCGTCAACGGTCATAAAAAGTCATTCTTCATCATCTTCATCTTCATCCTTTTTTTTTTTTCTTTTTTTTCTTTTTTTTTCTTTTTTTTGTAGTCATCTTCCTTGCACCTTCGCGTCACCCGCGAACTAATTGGAGAATCCACTTCCGCAGCTCCCGAACACCCACTCGTAGTCTTGATCAAATCGTGTCTCAACTCGTTCCTCTCCCATTGGAATGGATAATTGAATACAGCAAGCATAGCCTGGCCACAATACTGCCACCGACACCCTGCTTCACCCAACCAGATACCTAAACGAAAACTACGAGGTCCAGGGACGTGCAAAATACCCAGCCCAGTCTTCAACTGACCACGGAATCTTCACCTACGCCAACTAGCCCCCGAAGGAACCAGTGGGAGGCGAAGACACCGACAGGAAAGAGGAGGAAAGGGGGGACAATCACACGGCACTTTCATCCGAGGCCTTCATCTAAGCACTGAGTAGGGCTGACAGAATGCCGGTAGGATTGGGAGGAGCGGCTATGTCAGTACTGTATCCGTGAGGCATGGAGCACCATACAATCGGACAGAAGACGAAGGTCGGAACACAGCCTTACGACTGTGACTTCCCGTCGGCCTCCTGTACGGCCTTGTCTTGCATGGCGTGCATGTCTCTTATCCATTGGCGTCGACGTTGTTTTTGGCCGGGCCGGTTACGCTTCTTTTTCTTGGGTTCCCGTAGAGGTTCTGCAATGTCGAGGCATGGTTGCGACCCAGATTCTGGCGAAGCTGGGGTCCAGCCCTCGAGGGCAGATGCGAGGAGCCTAACGATTTGAATCAAGACGAACGGCGAGATGTTGGCCAGGCGTCTAGGTACTAACGCTTGCCGCTGAGGTCCAGGCCGGGCCTCAGTCTGCCGTCTGGTGGTGTGGTCGGGTTGCGGGGTTGGTAAGTGGAGGTTCTCCGTCTCAGCAATCCAGCAAAGCAGCTCAGAGCTGATGTAGGGTTGGGAAGCCCACATCAGAGGTAAGCCGTTTACAAACTCCGTTCTCACTTCCCACTGGAGGCCGGTTACCACCCGGTGTGGCAGAGCCGGTGATGCTCCAACGGGGAGGAGGGCCAAACTGTCGTCATCGCTCGCGGGGACAAGGTAACGGGCCCCTAAACATCGGCCAAGGGCCAATGACGCGAGGATGAGTCCCAGGTAGGCACCGGCTGACAAAAACTCGAGGGAATTGGCGGGCGAGAGACTGTCAGCACGGTGTGTTGGGGTTGCACCTGGGACGGCGACGGCAGCACTCGAGCAGCGAGATGGTAGAGTATTTAGCAGGTACCATAACGTGCGCTTATTGAGAGTGTCGTGTTTCTCTACTGCATTTCGGAGGTCGTGGAGATACGCGAGTTTGGCCGGAGGGACTGCGAGCCATAGTTCGAACGTCGGGAGGCGGCTAGAGACAGAATCGGGTAGAGGTGCAAGCACCTCTACTGGAAGGTCTTCCGTCTCTAGATAACGGTAAAGGTAGTCACTGGTTTTGTTGGCAGTGATGACTACCTCTTTCGTGACCTCGTACGCACCGATGGTCACTAAGCTGGCCGTAATGGACCCAGCCAACCGTCTGCCGAAGCCGTCCCGAGGGGTGACGGCGGTCATGGGCAATGAAGCTATCGAGCTCCATATTGTCAAGGTTGCCACAAGACCGATAAAGGCGAACAACATTTTGGCGTTCTACTAGTACGTTAGCCATGCTCATCAAGGGGCTGAAGGAGAGGAGTAAAACGCGTATCAACGCGTGAAAGAGATAGGGGGTATCATATCAAGCAGAGGCCGGGCTGGAGGAGAGGATGAGCACTCACGTTCGGAGCAAAGGAAGAGGGTAAAAGACTGTTGTCTTTTGGGGTCTAGCTGCCTGTGTCTCTGGTTAGCTTGGTCTATAGTAGAGTAGGAGATGCTGGCAAGTGAACATACCCTCAAAAGGAGCGGCAGCGACGGAGGGAGGCGGAGGAGAGGCCTGCTGCTTTGCGGTGGTGGAGGTGGAAGAGTTGCAGCAGGGAGTGGTATAGACGTGGATGGTGTCTGAGGGCGGCAGAGAGTCTTTTCTTCCTCCGTAGAGGATGATATCTTGTTGTCTTATTGCTTGTGGCTTTTTCTTGATGTCGAGGGTGGAAGTGTCTGCGCGGCCGAAGAGAAGAAGAGAAGAAGAAAAAGGACAAAAGACGAGGAGGTGAGAAAAAGGCCTTTTTATATGTGCGGGCGGGAACAACACACTTTCCTAATCGAGTAACACTGAAGCCCTAGGATCACGCAGAGGACTCGCCCTCGAGAGGCGGCTGATCCCGCGCAACGGGCATTGATCCGGCGTTGCTGGGTATATAGGGGAGCAGGACATGGTATATAGAGGACAGATCAGGTATATTTGGTATATCATAGGCCCTATCTCAGCGGGATCAGAGGTGCTGGCGGAATAGGGGGTATTTATGTTCTGTGATATTCACCACCACAGAAACATCTGGATCACCATTCATGCAGGGAAGCTGCAGAGTAAACAAGGGAATGTAAATAGAGTAGAAGAGAAAGGAGCCAGAAAGAGCATAGAATGATAGAATGTAAATAGAAAGGAAAAAAAAAAGGATATATCAAAGTTCTTTTCCCTACCCATTCAAACGCCATCGCAGGTAAAAAAGGAGAGTACACGCCTAATCTTTTCAAAACAGGGGAATCCAGCAAGATGATATCCGTTGCCAGCAGCATGGTAGACCGGCGAGCAGGCAGGTAAGAAAGCAAAGAAAAAGGGGGGGGGGGGGGGGATGCAAGGGCGTAAGATGCAAAGAAGAGTCAACGGATTTAGTCGAGATCCATCTCCTCCTCCACCCCTCCGTCGACCAAGAGCTTGGACTTCTGTTTCCCACGCAGCTTCTCCTCTCCAACAGGCAGGCCGACTTTTCTGTTGAGCAGGTCTTCGGGCTTTTTGGTCCCCTCTGCCATCTCCTTAAGCTCCTTGCGGATAAGATGCTCGCCCTCCGCGACAATTCTTCTGTTCTCGGCTCTCTTTCTGTCCCGGGCAATCTTGCCTGCCAGCCGTCTCTTCGTATATACCCTCTCTCTTCGCTGCCGGATCTCTTCCACTCTCTTCATGGCCTTGATCGTTGATTCCACCAGGTTCCTGTCGTATTTCACCGGTGCGTTGCGCTTCTTGGCGAACTGTGAGAGGACCAGCGACGAGTCTACTATCATCTCCTTGCCGTGCAGAGCTCGGTGTGTCTTGGTCCACTTCAGCTTGCGTGGTTGACGCTTCATCTTGAAGTTCTTATGGCATTTTGAGCGGCAGAAGCGGAACTGTCGAGCATCGTTGCGCACGAACGTTATCCCCTTGGAGGGATACACTGGCTGCGAGCAGAAATGGCAAGTCTCAACCCTACACCACTTCCCTGTTAGTCTAAGCTGTCCATACCACTTCTCGAAGAGTCTACTTACCGCATGTTGGCCGGTCGATGACTATCTTATATAACTAATACTTTTGAATATATTCAATCTCGTCGTTTGTTCCTTCTATCAAAATCCATTCAATTTTTTTTTTTCCCTTGACGTTGCGGGTGGCTATTCCACGCTAGTCCCAATCGGGCGAAGTCTATATAACTTTTTTCTCTTCTCTTCGCCTTTCGCAAATCTCGAGAACGAGAAGTGAAGAATCCGAGCAAGAACTTCGCAGTCCAGCCGGCGAGCTATCGACTGACATTTCGGGCGTCGCATACTCGTTTCCTACACAGAAATACACTCTCTTTCACCAAAAATGACCTCCGTCGTCGCTATCGGTGTTGGTGTTGCCGCGGCCGCTTTCTTCGTACGTCTGCCCTGTCAACCGCCCATTGAACATCAACAGCATACAGCATCAAGAACTAATATCCCTACAGGGTCGAGCAGGTCTAGTTGCCCTGCGCAGATACAGAGGAGGCGTCAACGGTGCTGGCCGTGCATTCTACAAGGGTGGATTCGAGCCCAAGATGAACAGAAGGGAGGCTTCTCTCATCCTATCTCTCTCGTACGTCCTCCACTTATTCGAGAAGATCCTTCCTCTCCTCTATCATGAAAGACAGATAGACAGGTAGTACAGTAACTAATACCGTCTCTAGTGAACGAACTCTTACCAAAGACAAAGTCCGCCTGAACCACCGCAAGCTGATGCTCCTTAACCATCCCGATCGAGGCGGCAGCCCGTACCTCGCCACGAAGATCAACGAAGCAAAGGAGTTGCTTGAGAAGACCGTTTAAGAAGTTTCCCGTGACTACATCCCGATATGACCTTGTTGGAATATCGAACTTCCTTTTCAAGCCAAAACACACGGCAAAATCCGGTTTCCAGCGGAAGCCATAACTACCCCCTTCGACCGGTGTATTTTTATCACATTTCCTCGTATATTCTCTTCCCTATTTCTAATGAGGGTGGATGCATAGCGTTGGCGTTTTAAACTCATGTTGATTTTGTGTTTTCTTTGCTCCCTTTCCATCCTATAACCCTGCTAGCCAGGATGAGAAGAACACTCCCCTCCACTTACTATATATACCTCCTTGTAGAGACTGGCTCGTCTCTAGGTCTTCCTTTATTACGACTATCTAGATGACTGGCATCTGTCATCTACAAACTAGAAAACAATAGCTGGGATTCTATTTTTGTCTGGAAATCAAACTTCTTCATAGAAACTGAGTTAAAAAAATGAGTACAAAGCAAGGATTTTTCTATTGAAAATAGTATCAAAGTAAATTTTTGTACCATATATGGGAACCGCATCATCTCATGTTAAAATTTAGCCCAGACCGCATAGAAGAGCAAAAAGGGAAGTGTAAGATAAAGGGACACAAAATAAAACAGCGTTAATGAGTGCTTTGAACCATTCAAAGGATATCCAAATATCGAAAAAATAAAAAGAAAAAAAAAAAGAAATAAAAAAAACCAAAAGTAAAGAGGGCGAGGTAAAGGGACGGGTGACAGTTTCGATATGAATAATACCCATTTCTTTTTTTCTTTTTCTTTCTTTTTTTTTTTTTTTTTTTTTTCATCGCCCTTGAGCTGGTTGGTATCTGCATATTAGTCTCCCTCCGTCTCCTTGTTGCGCTTTTTGCATCTTTCTGAATACAGGCCCCCTATTTATCTAATCATGTCCATGCCTCTATGTAATGATGCTTCAAGATCGTGTTCGCTCGTTCCATCAAACACTGCTTCCTGTGGACGTGGATCTTCGTGTCTCCAAGCTCCCTTGTCCTCTGGGATAGGCACATTGGTCTGCTGGGGTTGTAGCTGCTGAGCAAGAGCAGCCTGGATATGAGAAGGTTGGCGCACATGGTCGCGGAAACGCTGTACTTCGTTAAGAATCATGCGTCGCATCTCCTGCACATCATCGACGACTTCAAAGTGGAAGTCGAAGGGGGTAGGGCAGTTGGGTTCATCGCTTGCATCATGCCAGATGTGCAGGTAGCGGTGCTCCAGGGCTTCTTCCACGCTAATACGCGACGAAGGGTCAAAGGCGAGCATTCGGTCGAGCAGGTCAAGAGCGTCCGGGTTGGCGTTGGGGAATAGTCTGGCGAAGGGCTGTTTGTGCATGTAGGGTAGATTGCGAACATACTCTTGGGCGCGTGGGGAGCCGATACGGCAGAGTGTCTCCTCGGTGGGCGTTCCAAGGTAGTGGAGGATCTGGTTTAGCTGGTCGACGTAGTCACGGCCTTTGAAGAAAGGTCGTCCACCTAGCAGCTCGGCAAGAATACATCCAACGGACCAAACATCAACTAGTAAAGTACAGTTAGTCTCAATGCTATCTTTTATAGGCTAACTGATATAGGAGGGACTCACTGGCTTTGGTGTAGCTTGGAAAGCTCAACATGATCTCTGGAGCACGGTACCATCTTGTCGCAACATACTCGGTCATATATCCAGCGTTCTCATCAGGGTCAATTGAGAATCCACGAGCAAGGCCAAAGTCACAAATCTTCAGCTCACAGTCGGCATTAACTAATAGGTTACCGGGCTTCAAGTCACGATGCAGCACGTTGGCCGAATGGATGTATTTTAGCCCACATAGAATCTGGTAGATGAAAGACTGGAAATGGGCATCCGTAAGAGGCTGTCCTGATCGAATGATAGCCGCAAGATCGCACTCCATGAGTTCTAGCATCCGTCAGTGCCTGTTATAGTGAAAATTGCTGACTTGGCTGCGGTATATAGGCCACCTACCTTCATACAGGTACACCTCATTGAAGTTTTCCGGCCGTGGAATGTCCATATCATAGAGACAGGTGATCTAGATCTCATCAGCCCTAGTACAATGAAATACACGGCAGGTATATCGCGGTGCTGTCAAAACGTACGTTGCGATGACCACGGAAGTGCTGTAGCAGCTTGATCTCTCTCAGGGCACGCTTGGCCAGAATACGCTTGCTGAACACATTTGTGACTTTCTTGATGGCCACGCCATCGTTGGTCTGGATGTTGGAGGCAGCACTATCGATTTTCCAGGTCGCATTAGCCGTTGCTCGTTGCTCTCCTCGCTGCTGCGTCGTGACGCCGCAGGCGGGATGTTGTTTCTGTTGACTGGATGCGGGGCAGCAAACAGCCGCACGAAGGACCCAGGGGAATGAAGAAAGGGAAAAAAAAAAAAAAAAAAAAAAAAAAAAAACATACCAGACGATGCCGTAGGCTCCCTGGCCCAGCTCCTTAGTGACGTTATAGCGCTCATCGACGATAAAGTCCTGGTTAAACACCTTGAAGACCTTCCGTCCTTGAAGATCTGCCATGTTGCCCGTCACTTCGCGCTCGCATGTATCTATCTAGGTCGACAGGGAAAGGTACGGCGAAAGGGAGACTCGGCGCGCCAAACAAGACAATCCACAAATCGGCCGGAGACAAGGCAGGCGTCTTCTCGCAGTTCTCGCAGAGCCAGAGACGCAGAAGCCCGATGCAAGGGAGGCAAGAGGACAGCTGGAATCCCTCGAGCGTCGAAGGTCGGTTTTAATTGAGTTTCTGGTTCGGTCTTTTTTGGAGTGGAAAAAGATAAATATTTGTTAAAATAGAGGGACAGACTACGGGAGTAGTGGGTCTCCGGGTCTATCTATTCGAGATTCGATGAGCCGGAGAAGGAGGAGCAGGCAGCTTGGGCTCGTTCGGCCTTTGAGCACTGCTGCATCGACGGACTGTGGAGGGAAGAAAGAGGGTGCGGACGGACAGTGAAGGCGACAGGATTGCTTGCTTAGTGGTGGGGGAGGATGAAAAGAAAAGAAAAGGGAAAAAAAGGAGGGGGGGAGGTAAGACAGGAGGACCCTCGCCCCGTCTGGAGCCAGAGTAGAGCAAAGGGAGGCCGGACGGCGGCGGTGATGGTGATGATCGAGCAGCAGGCAGCAGGATGAGGGCCGCAGTGATGGGCAGGGCGGAAAAGGCCTGCGTGGTTTAGTTATTTACCTGGGTCTGATGCGCCTGGGGGTGGTTGTTGTTATCCAAACGAGAGAACCGGCACTGGCTCACCACTTCACTCTTCTATCTCAGGAGGAGAAAATGACAGATAGCAGGAGAGAAAGCAAAACAGATGACAGGAGCAAATAATGTCCTTTTCTTGCTGTGACTTGATGTGATGGAGCGTGGGGCAGCAACAGGGCTCAGGCGGCTGGAGAGAGACTTGGGGACTGGGGGGTGTTTGACCAGTGACAGCCAGCAGAGGGTTGATATCAACAGCTTCACTCCCTTGTCGGCAAAAACAGGCCAGTATAATACGCAAGGGAGGTTGATTCGGATGTCCTCCAGCTGCGGACGGTCCCTTTAACCGGTATACACACACTGGATGCTTGCTGTTTGATGAGGTCTTAGCCGTGCAAGGATCCGTCCCTTGATGGGAACTAAGAGAAGGTGGCCTTCCTGGATAATTTGGGAGGATAGGAATAAGTCGAGAGAAAGGGTCAAGAGATATGCTGGCCCGGCTTCTTTGCTTCCTCTGCTTCTCTTTCCTGGCTAACTGGCGATGGGTCTCTTGTCCTCATATATCCCCTGTCGATGATCTCAGCTCTCCCACAACCAAACCACCAAACATCCCGGCTGCTCATCCATACACAAACCGGATATTGAGGCTCTTTCCGAGCCTTCCCTCCAAAGATCTTCTAATGCTCTCTCTCCATCCCACGGGGGAAAGGGACTTAATTTGGCTGCTTTCGTCAAGGGACTGCCCAGCATGTGATGGGATAGCCAATAAAATCATATCGAAGATTCCATCCTTCGTCTTGGGTGGTTCGACTGCTCAAGAAAAGAGAATACCTATCCCTGTCAGGCGTTTGCTCTGAGAAGCAGATCGACAGCAAGCCCGGCAGCTGTTCGCCTGAGTGATCAAAACAACTGGTCGGGATACTGGTCCGAGAGAATCATCCAATCGACGCACTATTTTTACACCGAATATTTATCTACCAAAAAAGCAACCAAGAGGAACAAGAGCTACCAAAAAATATACCAAGAGAAAATTTGTACAAACTAAAATGTGCTGATGGGTGGAACAATGCCTCACGCCGGGAAGGCCGCACCGTCACCTCTCATGTCGCTTCCGGCGCTATATACAGTCTTACCCTGATCAGTATGACATCTGATAACCTGACCACGACCAAATTTGCTCCGGTCAAAGGACTTGAGAACCTTCACCGGATGGCCCATCCGTCTAAGCTCTTCGACCACAGAGTCGCAGATGCCTTCCTCAAGGTAGATAATCTGTCCATAGCCTTTCTCCTTGCTGCCTGCCTCGATGCAGAACCGTGGGGCATCCAGCGCCGCCTGGGGAGACAGGTCGAACGCCAAGGTGTTGAAGAGCACTTGGACATGACCTTGCGGCTGCATAAAGCCACCCATGACGCCGTAGACGGTGTGCAGGGAGTTGTCTGAGGGGTTGGTGACCATAGCAGGGATTATGGTATGATATGGCCGTTTTCCCGGCCGCAGGACGTTCGGGTGGTCCGTTTGTAACGAGAAGTTGGCACCACGGTTCTGAAGCGTGAACCCGCAACCGGCAGGAATAATGCAGGTACCGAAGTCTTCGTATACGCTGTTGATGAAGCTGATGCCGTTTCCTTCCTTATCGGTGACGGCAAGGTAGACCGTATCGCTGTGGTTGTGCGCGGGGCTGCCATGGTCTAGGATGCCCGGCGATGCCTTGCTAGGATCGAAGAGTTTGGCTCGCTCAGCCAGGTAGGCGGGCGAGATGAGCTGCTGGGCCGGCACCTTCTCCACATCTGGATCGGTAACCCACCACGCTGCGTCTGCAAAAGCGATGCGGAGACTCTCGATCAGGGCATGCAGGTATGGTGCACTATTGTGTTGTTCGGGGGAGAAATGAGGAATCTTTCCGGATCGAGAGAGCTCCTTGAGTATGCCGAGAGCCATCAGAGCGACGATGCCTTGGCCGTTTGGTGGATGCTCCCAAAGCTCGACCTCCTTTCCGTCTTCCTTCTTCTTGGAGGATACAAAGCCACTGGGATCGAACTTCAGGGAGATTGGGTCAACCTCCTGGCTGCCCATTTCTGCATGGTTCTTGAGGTCGTCAAGGGTCATGAAGCCACCCAGGTCTTCAACAATCTGGATGATAGCCTTGGCTACATCTCCTTTGTAGAATCCATCCTTTCCTTCCTTTGCCAGG